TATTGGGACTAACTTCGATAATTTGAACACGCCTAATCTTGTATAACAAAAAGTTTAGCAGTTTCCCACATACAAGTAGGTAAATGCATGATTTAACTCTACACACTATCTACCGCTACTACTACGGTATATATTAAATCTACAGATTTGGTTAGGTTGGGAAGAATTCAATAATGAAATACAAATCACGAATACACGTGAAACTATTCCATTAATTCGCTAATTCCTCATTGTTACCCCTCGTACATTGTTGCCTGTCTCGTTGGTTCAATTATTTGAATGATAACAACAATAATAAGAAGAGATACAAAATTAATATAATCTTCTTTTGTAGATCTTTTGGTCTCGATGACTAGTGATGGTTTGTAAGATGCGAAAACGCGAAAGAACGACAAGGGGGAGGTTAATTAAAGATGGAAAAGTATATGCCTCATGTCTATCGTAATTTCTTGTCGTATTTTTATCATTTCATGATTGACAGAGGGTGCGAAAGACATCAGTCAAGTTGAGTAAACAGTATGACTTGTGACTCTCGAGAAAGGTTGAAATTAGGAATAATTTAAAGTAATGAGCATGCATACACAATCAAAACTTTAACCTTAATTACCCGTTTATTAAATTTTAATTTCCTGATTACTTCCAAAAAAAAACTTTCTTTGTGCTGATTTTAGTTAAATTGAGGATCTTTATTTACCAGAGAGAAGAAAAGGAAGAGAGACGAAACCGCGAGGAGGTTTTTTATTTGGAAACGAAGAAAGACCGTCAACAAAATCGAGGGACACAATGTCAAGAGTTAATTAATGTTCACGTTTACAATTTCCTTTGTTTGTCTACGGTTTAAATACACATATGTAATAGATAGATATATATATAGATATATTGATATATATATATATTGTGCGTATATTAACATTCGACGATTTTCACAATGAGCTTTCACATCACGAAAAACAAAATAGAAGCAATGTTGGAATGTCTCTGTTGTGATGATGCATATGTATGAATGCCTGGTTAACTTTTCACCCACTATAAATAAATATAAATAAATGAGAGATTACAACCTGTTTAACACATGTTTCATAAATTTTTCCTCTCCTTCTCGTTCTTTTTGCTTCTGCATTTTCCTTTTTGATTTAGAATGGAGAAAAAAATTTCATGCTTGTACCTTGTCTGAAGAGATATTCCCAAGAAGGTAAAGTGGGATTTAATTTCTAATTGGGCTGTTGCTCGTTCTATTTATCATCTTCAGCTTCTATTTATTATTTCCAGACATAAAGTTGGGGAGAAGCAACTTTTTTGTTGATTTGATTAGCAGCAAAATTCATAAATAAAAAAATTTCCTATTCAATTTCGCAGTGTGCATCATTATCATTAAAACATTGTTGTGAATTATTCCTAAAAAAATTTTTTTCGAAAGAATGCTATAAAATCTTATTAATCAAATATTAATACTGGTTCTGGCAGGTTATACATTACGTGTGAAAGTCTCGTGTGAAATTGGGGAGTAAACATAGATGTTAGCATTTATCTGTATATTTGGACTAAAATCAACGTTATTTGATGACACATTATTTTAACATGTCAATTAATCAATGATAATAGAGATCAAAAATTAGAATTCCCATATTATCGTTATTATTCTACATGATCATCATCCATCATTTTATAAAATTCGAGATTCGTTAGCAATTTCTGAATCAAAACACCCATTTTCACGATGCGTCATTGTGATGATATATATATATATACTAAAGATAACCGATTTCAAAAATCACGGTATATTAAAAGTTTTGGGGCTGTAGTTAATAATTACACTTTGTAATATATACGGAGTTTGCGGAGTCAAGCGGGGTACATAAGCGTAAACGTATATTGATGTAAGTCGGTAGATTAGTATACTATTATTATCGGTCAAATGGCTGTGCATTTCATCGTCCATGGTCACGGATTTGTTTTTTGACGATGACGACGGATAAATGAGAGGATTATATATTATCCTTATTATCCCTAATTAAATTCAAAAGTTCCAATGCTTTTTTGTTTGTTAATTGGTGACATGAGATTATGAGGTTACAGTAAATCGATTGTCTACACATTAAATTCACATAGATAGCACATGAACAGCAATATCGATATGATTAGTTATATCATTATTCAAATACTTCTACGAGCAAATATGAAATAATAATTAGTGGAACAACGACCAACACGCGCAACTTTTCCAAAATAATTCATATATATATATATATATATATATACACGATGCAATAAATACAATAATCATAATAAACATAAAAACAAAACGTAAATAAATAAGAAATCATAATTTTGACCGTCAATCGAGAGACACACAACAGACGCATACATAACGTACTTGTACATATACATACATAAATAAATAAAATTGACGCACTTACATATGCATAGCATGTGACACACGACACAATAGGAATTTATATACTCGATGTTATAATAGGCAAAAAACAAATGAGTCAGGTGGTTTCCACAAATTGCCTTTGTCCAATAAATTATCGCGATTTTTTATATTTTATGCATGAATCAAGAATTATAATGACCGTATTAGGAAGTAATGAAGGATTAACTGACTAAAGAATAAAAGAATAAAAGAAATAAAAAAACCAATCACCTCATACTATCAATACAAATAATGGAATATCCTATTAGTTACTGTACCTAAGTGACAGACAATAGATGGAAAGAAAAGACCGACAAAAACAAACGGACCAATTTTATATTGACGCGGGTTTCATGGTTTAAATTCTATTGTTCTCTTTTATAGTCTATTCTTACTCTATTCTATTCAAGTCAATTCAATTCAATTCAATTCAATTCAATTTTATTCTATTGTATTCTATTCTATTCTTACTCTATTAAATTCAATTCAATTCTATTCTACCAATTAATCATTCGGATATTCAACTCATGAACACTTACCAAATTTGCATATGTTTGTTTGTTTGTTTGTTGTTGTAGTTGTTGTGTTATGTTCCTCAGGGAAATCTGTGTTGTAAAGTAAATCTCTGTGTTTATTGTGAGACATGTTTTAAAATAAATGAAATCTTGTCTTTTTTAGTGTTTGAGTGAGTGAAAGTTTTCGAGTTTATGTGTTGTTGGTTAGTTATGTGGATCGATTGATTGACTGACCAACAAGAAGATTATTTATATTGAACAATTCTATTCTGTACTATTCTGTAACACATACGTACGCATCGATTGAGTCTACTGTTTCACGGAATTGAGCAGGTAATGATGATCACGAGCTATTTATTAAAAAAATCTTCACCTCATCGCTTATTCGTCATAATTAAATGCGCGTAAAAAACAATCAGATCTCACGATCATAGATTCCAATTACCTACATATACAAGTATCATGAGCAACAAAAAAGGTGTTTATATACCAGTACTATGAGCAACAAAACAAGATGCGGAACAGGAATGCGCTCAATCAATAATATTTTTGGGGGTTTTTTGACCGGAATTCGAAATTAATTGGGACTAGAATGTGACCCAGCGGATTCAAATAAAAAATGGAAGGTGTTAGTGGGATAAAGCGGCAGATTGACACGGCAACATGCGGTCGTTTTTTTTTGTTGTCGTCAAATATGTAACGACCATAAATGGATAATGGCAATAAAACTGTTGCGCTACCAATCCTTATTAATTGAATTGAATGGAATGGAATGGAGACATGAGTTTGATTTGCTCATCATGTCGCGCAATCCCCCTCACGAATTATTTTCCCTTTCTTCTACACAATTGCAATTGATAAATTAATTAACTCAAACTCCGATTATTATGATTATCAGACTCGACGAATCTCCTTTATTTTAGAAAATAATGCAATGATATTTAACAATATAATGTTTTACAATCGATATTGGTAATATACATGGATGATGGATGCGTGGGATTGATAAATAAAGTTTCGTGTATTATGTATGTAGATCTAAACGTAACATAAAGAGGTTATTTATTATGCGTTTTTTCGTCGTTCCATGGTAGGTAACATTCTTCAAATCAAACCATGTAATAAATCTGAACCGAATACATATTATAATAATCATAATATTTACTGACAAGAAGATATATTTATTGATTGATTGATTGATTTATTTATTTATTTATTTATTTATTTATTTATTTTGATATCCCAGAAAAATGAAATTTTTTTTTATCTCGCCGTTTACTTTAACGACCAAGGCCACAAAAAATCAAACTAGCATGACCAACAGCAGGGTTAACTCAAATTTTATTATAATTTTGTGCCCTTTGCCTCTTATAGACTTTATATCATAATATATAACTATAATATAAAATAATTCACACACTCATAAAATAGACACACACACAATCATCATCATTATTTCATATTCATTTGTATTTTAATTCAAATACGATGATTGATGGATGGATGGATCGATTGATTGGTATATAAGTAAAGCATCCTGTCCTCTACCTATCTCTTGTCTATTTTCTCGTTTTTATTCAACGAGGTTCTCCTTTTTTTTAATTTCGTATAAATATCCTTTTGATTTTTTTTTTGAATTATTACATTAGTGTCCGGTTTTTCGGTTTCCACGTTGTTGTCAACAACAAAAAAAAATATAATTAAATAATAATAAGTAATATCTTTTGGGAAAGAGAATAATTAAATTATTTGAATCATCATAATTATTATTATTATATATCATAATTATTTTACAGCAGCACATAAAGACATAATTTATCTCATTATTAACATCACAATTAGTTAATCAATCAGTCGACCGAATAATAACTAAAAACACCAAACCCTATCAATCTCTTATCCACCCAACCTTAACATCAAAATAACAACGCATTCTGACGTGTTGTTTCAAAAAACCTTCAAAAAAATAAAAACGCAGTTTTTCTTCATTTCTCTTTCTACAACTACAAACTAATACTACGTATATATACAAATTCGAGTTGGACATTTATTCATTACTATAATCGATCATGAATACAATCAACAAGAGTCAAAAACATCTTTTCACCTTGCCAACTATAAATCAGCAAGTGCACGCACCATATCCACGACCTGCTATTTTGGATACCATTCGCAACTTGGAAAATAGTTTGGACTGGGAAAACCCGACATCGCAGTCAAAAGTAAAGCTCTCACCTCCACCTCGTGAATCTGGAGGCGGTGTTTCAACTATTAATAAAGATTATTTCAACAAGAATCTGACGACTACTTCTGGTGGTGCTATTGGCTCTCTTTATTATGACCATTTGGTGAATGATGGTGGATCTTTTAATGTGCTCTATCCATATGAAAAATCATCTTTTATGGTCTATGACGAAGCTAATAATACTATCAATTATCGAAAAAATAATAATAATACCAACAATAACAATATTAACACCGTCAGCACAAATAATGCCAATAAACTATACAACATCGCGTCTTCGAAACCAATAATTATTAATTCTGCTTGGCAATCATCTGAAGATCTTTCAGCACCTTCAATCTCTCCTTCGAATTCAATTGCAACCTCGCGATCCAGGACTCCTAATGACTCGGATTCAGAGTCGAAAAACCATTCTCAAGTCTTTATTGCTTCGCCTAATATCATTGATTCAAAGTTAAACGCAATTGCGGCTGACCATAATAAATCGCGAACTCTTTCTTTGTCAAGTATCCGAGATCACCTTTCTTCTAACAACAATACCTCTTTCACTTTATCGAAATTACCGCCACCGATTAATGACGAATTGGACATGACACGCTTTCAGAAAGTTCGTCGCGACAGTAACACGACCTCGTCATCGGATCCAATTTCAGATAATTCGGATAAGTCAAACAATATCGAGATTGAGAAAGAACAAAAAAAGGCAACTCTCTATAAAACAGAGATGTGCCGAAATTGGGAAGAAAAGGGTACTTGTCGGTAAGTAAGCATGTTTATAATATTGAACCTTTGGCGCTTTAGTTGATCTTTGCAATAACGGTTTGTTGACGATTTACTTTGCTCAAATCACTGATTTTTTTTTGGTATTTCAATTGATTAGCTACGGAACTAAATGTCAATTTGCACATGCTGAAACTGAATTACGAAAAGTTGTACACCATCCAAAATACAAGACGGAGATCTGCAAAACTTTTTGGCAAAGTGGCACATGTCCATACGGCAAACGTTGCTGCTTTATTCATAACGACAAAGACTTGGCATTGTCGAAGCAACGTCGAAATAGTGTGGATAGCGCACTAAAGACAGGTCAAAATGGAAAAGCCAAGGAATTAAACAAATTCAAGAGTGATCCTGAGCTTTATGGTAAATTCGTGAACGGAAGCGATACGACAGGATCCCCTCTACAAGTTCCAAATTTAAAGTCAACTAACAATTCACTTCGCGCATTCACCGACGCCTACTTTTCGAGTCAATCTTATGGTATGGCTACTAATAGCCACGATTCTGTCGCGTCCTCTTCAACTTCACCCCAAGACGGTCTAAAAGGAAATACTGCGCCCAAAGCTGCAAATCTTGATACGTCTCGGAAAAGATTTGACGATGGAAATGTCATGAAAGTTGGCGACCTTGAAGACTCTGATGACGAGAATCAATTAACGCCAGTTATCAATACACCTACATTTCTACGTAATTTCTTGAAAGAAGTTGTTGATTGCGACGAACCAACTATTAAAGAACGTTCGGCACCAACTCGATTAGAAAAGGGAAAGAATAACGGTGCTGGATATGCCCCATCGGATCTTGTTCCTATCCTCAATCAACCTCGTGGTAAAAGATTGGCAATCTTCCGAAACTTGGGATAAAGTGACGACACATTTATAATGATATTTAAACAATAATGAGCTGCACATAAATTTCTATTTCTTTTATTTTATTCCCTATTTAAAAAAATTCTATCTTACGTGTTTGTTTGTTTGACTTTTTTTAATTATTAGCATTATTTATCATTCTCTCTAAAGAGGCGGCACTACACATCCATTTTCTCTCACAAAGCATTTCTTTTGTAAAATGTATTATTTATCATTAACATGCTTGTTTATTATTCTATTTGTTTTTTTTTTGTTAATTATTTGGATTGCGTTTTTCTTAATCTTATTACACACTATTTTCGATGATTTACTTACTACCTAGTAGTTTATAATTATCATCTTCGTGAATTTGTTAAAAATTAATTTTATTTTTATTATTATTGATTTCTCTGTCTATTTAAAAATTTACTTTATTATTATTATTATCTTTAAAATTCAATATTTTTATTTTCCTGATACGCGAATCCCAATATTTATATACATCAATAAAACGAACAACCTTTAACTAGGTGTGATACTACTGAAAATGTTTCCTGCAAGCTTTTTTTATACTTGTAAAACATTGCATATTTAACACGATAGACACGTATGATCATCCTAAAATTATAAACTCTTAAGAATACAAAATATTTACGTCACGCGTTCCGTTCACATACTAACGCTAGTGTTAACTTACCTATTCTATTATAAGCTAATATTGTTTTACGATGCCTGATGTGGGATGTCAATGCTCCCAATAGAAAAACAACATTAACAATAGAATATTTCTAAATTGCATGGAACTTTTACAAATCAAACTAACCTTATATCTGTGAAATTATAACGATAAGAATAAAGTATTATATTATCATCAAAAATATCCATATGAGAATTCATGATGCATGCATGGTTTATCCGCGCGATTGTCTATAATTATCAAGAATAGAATTGAATCCTGGCCGAGATGATGCATCGACAATGCTAGAAGAAATTATCTCGGAGTCGAAATCTGTTCGAAGTATATCTTCTTGTTGATCATCGTTGATGTCATCTTTCGATATCTTTCGTTTTTTCTTTCTTGGAGATTTATTCCTTTGCTTATCTCTTTCCCCCTGCAATATCTTATGCTTTTTATTTTTTGAGACACTAGAAACAACTTCAGCACCACTGACGATTTGAACGTGGGGATATCGGCACTATCAAAGGTGTCAAAAATATACATATAGTTCATTAGTGATATTATATTTGAGATCAATCTAATCATATAAAAATTACCTTTGGGTTCGGGCAATAGCCCTTGTTCGCATAAGTGAAGCAATATGAGGTTAATGGGGGAAATGTATAGGCCACTTGTTCTGTTGGGCCTGTCCACTGTAATTTAACAAAAGGCACAGTTTCAAGATCCATCTGTGGCAACTGTGAATGTGCGGTATGAAGATCGTATAGATTTGCATTTGCATTTGCATTTGCATTTGACTGATCAAAAGCCTCGGACATACTTTCACAAACAGTAAGATGAAGATCTTTTCTCTTATGAGAAAGTATAAAGGTTCCTTTAGGTAGGCTAAAGCATCAAGAATGAAGGTGAACACATTCAGTAATCCATATCGAAAACGAACAGAATTTCAATAGAACAGCATTACAACAAAAATAATTCTTCACCTTGTATGTAATTGTTTCAGAATATTTTGAAGCAATTTACTGTGAGCCATTGGCCTATATCCAAAATGATTTTAATAGGTATTTTTAAAATAACCACGAAAGACATAATTAAACATAAAATTTACCAATCCGCATTTGGTATAATTTTTGTCATTGGTCTTTGTTCGACTTCGATTAGTTCATTATTAATTACATTAATTCGACCAAGCATCAAATGTGAATTTCCACGAATGTAAGAATGAATCCACCAGCGAGCTCGCTCAAAGTTTGTGATTTCTTCCAATCCTATATCAGACTGATATTCCATTTTTGATTTCATGCTAACAATTTGCGGCTGATAAAAAAAGACTTAAGAATATTATTATTTATGTCGCAGTTGATTACTTAATTAAAAAGAACAACTCACTTTACGATTTTGTCTTTCTCCATGATAAATAAATCCATGCGCTTTACATCTTATCAATAATGTTAAGTCCCCAAAACTCCATAAAGTATACATCAAGTTTCCGGAATTTAATTGCGCGTCATTTAGCATATTCCCAGTTTGAGAATCAGAAATAGCCTTCGAAGAAATATTTTCCTCCATTAGTTCTGACCTTTCGATAGTAGTAGATGCTTGCATATTATTGTCACTCGCATTATCCATGTTACTTTCTTTGACTTCTTTATCTTCACTTTTTGCTTGTCCAATTGATTTATTTACTTCAGAATCACTCGCTATGACTTTTACATTTTCAGTTATCTTCGATACCTCTGAATCTCTTGGTTTCTCTTTATTGCATATTTTGCTCGAGGTTGATTCATCTATTTTTAAACATTTAGTTTACACGATTTCAGTTTTTTATTAATAAACAAAGATCTTATTCAAACCTTTTTGCATATCGCTCGAGTTCCCCGTTGTCTTTTTCACGATATCCTCGATTTTGATTGGGAGTTTTGAAACAATACTTTTGAAAGCCACATCATAAAATTTTTGATTGTACTCTCGAGGACTAAGACGATGCTTTACGAGTGGTTTGTCAATATAAATAGTTTTTCGTAAAGTTCCGTCTTCTAAAAATAAGAGAAAAATAAGAATATGGAAATAATTCTTTGGTTGAAAAAGAAACCATTTTTTACCTAATTGTCTCTCCTGCACAATAACTGGTATTTCAAATTCGAGATCTGTAGTTGCACTCAAAGCGATTATAGCACAAAGTCCGCTTGATGATATAACTACATCGACATCACGTTCAGATACCATTCTAGGAATTAAGGGATCACTGCTAACGACAGGCATCGACTTCGAAAATTGATATTAGAGTGTCAGTTGCGCATATAAATGGTCGAATGCAAATAATAAAGTGAAAAGTCAACTCACTGATTTTCGCCACTCACGACTTAAAGATGACCTCTCATAATTTTCTGCGGAACTATCCGACCAATAGAATCGGTCAAGATTGACACTGATTGGCAGTTTCATTTCTGGAATAAAGAAACCATAGCATGTTCCCTAAATGATTCGTTAATTAATTTTTACACATGTGATTTTTTCCCTTCCTGAAAAATATAACAGAAAGCTTACAGTTCTATAGATTAACTCCCTGTAAGTTAAAACAGGGTCTCCGGGCATGGGTGCACTAAACGAAATCCCTATTGAAGAAAATACGCGATAGTAGCGCTGTAATAGTAAATTTGATTATTGTAAGTGAAAGAAATAATATTAAAGCATAAGATTAAAATATTATAATTAACTTACTGGATATTGTTTTTGCACGCGCAATCTATCGACATATATTTGATTCTTTATTTAATCATTGAAGATAAAAGTTAAATCTAGTCAAGTAAATTTGCATTAAGTTAATGAACTATATAATTACCTCGATTTGATTTTTAATATCGTTATTTAAGAATTTTAATCTTTCTATGCTCCGATCATATGTCCACTGAAGATAAAGTTGGTTCTCCTTATGGAAAAGTTCTCCCAAGTGTTGATGACGTCGAAGCTGACTTTCATCTAACAGATGAGGCTATTTAAAACTGTGAAATTAGCAAGTTTGTTTATAGCTCATGTTTGTAATTTTTTCAAGTTATTATGAAAGACGTACACTCTGACTAAACAATAGACTGATCTGTAGGAATTCCTTATGTTCTTCCTTTTTTAAAGGAGAATAAGGTATTGAATCGGATGATGATTGAGATGAACCAAGTGCAAATTCATCTTGGGAAGTATTTAATGCGGATGATGCGATCAATATATCTAATGGAATATTTGAATTTGAACTAGAGCTATTGTCATGATTGTTTTCTTGATCTGTTTGATGTTCAAGCTTCTTCTTGCGCTCATCAAGTAGTTTTAAGAGTGGACCAATTAAATCTACATTTAAATCAATTTTATCACTCTTAGAGCCAGTTTGATTGGAATCATTTGTTCCTTTTTCTGGTAAATTTTGTATAGAAGGAAGCAAACTATCCATTTGCTCATTCTTAGGGACTTGATCTGGAAAATTTTTAGAACCAGTTTCTTTGACATCACTCGTATTTATTGTTCCTTTTTCTGATAAACTTTGTAAAGACGAAAGCAAATTATCCAATTGACCACTCTTGGAGCCAGTTTCTTTGGAATTATTCTCATTTATTTTTTTCTCTTGTTCTGGGAATCTTCGTATAGATGGAAGTAAATTAGCTATCGATCTAGTAGAATTCTGTGAAATTTCGTCGTCACTTTGATCATCCATTATCAAATCTATAATTAAAAAGATGAAAATTCAGCATTCTATGGATAAAAATTAAGACATCGTTTTTCTATATGTAAGATACGTACCATCGTCATCGTCATCATGTTTCCTATGGTATTGTGTTGGTTGTTGAGTTTCAATTAACACACCAGTAGAATTAGGATCTTTTTCAGATACTACGGGATTATTTTCAATTTCATTCAGAGAAGAAATATTTTGTTGCTCTTCAACATTTCGCTTTTCCGAGTTTTCCATTTGTACTGCAGTTGGAGACGAAATTGATTTGGATTGATTTAAATCTTCTAAGGTATCCATTTGCACCGCAACCGGGGGCGAAGTTAATTCTGAATTATTTAGATCTTCAAGGCTATCTAGTTCTACTGCAATCGGAGACGAAGATTTTAGATCTTTTAAGGTATCTAATGGTACTACAGCCGGGGACGAAGGCGATTTTGGCACAACTCTATCTTCGAGGGTATTAGGTTGCATAGCAACGGGCGAAGATGATTTTAATTGCTTTTGACATTCAAGGTTGTCTGATTGTTCTGCAACTGGTAATGATGAAAATGAAGTTGATTTTGGTTCATTTTTATCTACAAAGATATTTAATTGCGTTGCAACCGGGGACGAAAGCAATCTTTCTTTTTTCGGATGTTTCTCTTGCGTATCCAGTTTTTTCTTTCTCGCTATAAGAGCCTCAATATTTTCTTTCATGAGTAAATCCAAAGTAACTATAGTATATTTTTGATATGCTTCTTTCGTAAAAAACGACCAGGAATTAATCGGAGATGACAATACTGAACAAGGTGACCTTAATAATTTAAACGAGAATTAGTAATATTATATTGTAGATAAAATTCAAGCAATATAATATTTACCGGGGACTTTCATCAGAAATATCATTATCCAAGTTCAAATTTGCGTTATCGCAGCTGAGATCCATAGCATCCAGAGTTAAATCTTCTATCTCTTCGCTATCATCGGTCAGTGAATCATAGGAAATATTCTTGGCTCTCAGGGGAACTTCGGGAAGGGTGGGTGATAATGGTGGCGGTAAATTCTCAAAGAATTTCAGAAAATAGCTTGACGAAGGACATGTAGTGGAAATCTCGTATATATCATCTAAAGGGGGTGCTTGAGATCCATTTTCAATAATTTCTTCGTTTGGCATTTGTTGAGCAATAGAGGAATTCGTAGAACCTAAATTTGCGTCCATAGACTCTTTTTCAATATTGTTGTTACTAATCTCCCTTATGTAGATTTCGTGTTCAGAATTCGAAGAAAGTGAATAATTTTCACTTTTTTTCCTGACATTTAATGCTTGTATTCGGGCGCTTCTGCGTAGCATCATCAAAATCAATTACTCATCACAAATCTTTTGTAAATGAAAACTGAAAATTGATAAAAATTTTACTCATGTAACAACTTCAATATTAACCAATCACATATTCAGAATCTTAACCCTAACCCTAACTCAGGTTCTAATTAGCCAATTAAAATGCGGTTGTTACAAATAACAGTTGTTACAAATTGACGGCGACCTATATTCTCTCCTTCCCAACCCTAATCCTAACGTTAAATTACCTTTTAATATTTTTAAGATTTATCACGTGATGGACTAAGCTTTAACTGTGCTCTATTTATGTATGTCTGGAAATATCTTTATGAGACTTTGATTAATTTTTTTAAGCTAAAATGCATGTTTCTTTTATAAAGAATTATTAAATTTAAATTATCAATAATATTTACAAGAAAATTACTTATTCACTCATTTGGTTGCTTGTTTATTCATTTATCTTGTGATATAATATAAATATAAATTATCTAATATAATATAAATAAATGATTTATATAATATTTATAAATAATAATATAAATATGATACAAATAATAATATAAATAAATAATTTAATACAAGAATATAAAATAATATAATATTGTTATTGATTCAATATATTATTATCAATTTAATATATGAACACATAAATAGAAGATGCAGTCACAGTAAAAATTAGTCATGATGATATTTGAATTATGTATTTAGTTTAATAACTTTCTACTTTCTACTTTTTTCTATTTCTTTTTATTTTCTTCTTTTTCTTTCTTGTATTACTTATCTTTCTATATTTATTTCATTATTATCTTAATTTGAACATATTAATCACATAATTTTCTTGACAAATTTATCATTTTCTATATTAATTTAGCTTTTATTTTCTATTTTTGCTATTGATACTTAAGTGTAGAACAAAATTATTAATTATAATATAATTAAATTTCATGTAATTTAAAAGAGAATTAGTAATTTTGTAATATTAATATAGATCTACTGTATCATATTGTTACAATTATTTTCAATAATTCTGTAATTAACGAATCTTTTAAAAATAATAGAAAATATGAAAATCTTCAA